ATAATTGATAAAGAAAGAACTGTACAATTTTTTCAAGGAAAATCTTAGAAAGCAATACCTAAACTTAATAAGCAATTCAAGACCCCTGCAAGTTGTTAGCATAATATTCCTTCCCATATTTATTTGTACTATAATGGCTTAAAAAATATAAAGAGCACACGTCAGCCAGGACCTTGCATTTCTCCATCTTGTTTGTTTAATTTTTGACAAACTTATTATGCACTCAGCGGGATATACAAATAGGCAACCAAGTTAATTTCAATAAAAAGCCTTCACTTCACTCCGGTCTGCGTTTCGTGGCCTTTGGCATCGCCTGTCAGCGGAGTCTGTCAGTCAGCCAAGTTAGTGGGGTATGGGCTCCCATGGAGGGGTGGAGTGGGAGAGCCGCCCAAAAAGAGGCAAGATGCAAACGCATTGGCCATGTTACCGTTGCCCATCGGCTGACTCATGACGCGACCACGGCCCGCTGTCATTTTAGCCATTTGCGTTGTCAGTCGTTAGCCATATACGAGCGAATGCGAGTGCATACAAAAGGATTTGTCCGTCGTGGCCAAAGGCGCTTTGATTAATTGCCGACTTAGAGTGAATCAAACAAAAAAAAAAAACAGGAAAAAAGGATGCCGGGCCATTCTCGTTAGGCCAAGACCGCCAAACCAAAACTGAAAACTGAAACCGATGGCAGAGCCAAAAAGCTGACGTGTGGCGTTGGCGTGAATCACTTGAGCCAAAAGGTCAGGCCAACAAGGTTGAAGAAATGCAAACTGCTGAAATTAATTGCCAAGTTTGTCTGGGAAATGCGGAAATTAATTGGACGACAAACTTCGTGGCGCAACAAATTGGCAACAAATTCGGCTGGAAGCAGTGCGCACTGCGCACTCTGGCCAATAATAAATGGCCAAGTGGTAAGCCGCAAAAAGCCGCAGAAAAGACTGCCGAAAAACAAAGCGTTTAGGCTTCTGCGCATTTTTGCGTGAAGAGAGCAAACGGCCGAGAGACAAAGCGGAGAAAGAGAGTCATTACCACGCACTGCAGCCCGGCAATCAGGGGTTAAAAGGTTAATGGGCAACATTAATAGACATCGTACGAGGCAATCGGGCTGACCGGTTGGCACTAGCTTTGGCTTTAGGTCTAGCATAGGATGCACAACGAAAAAAGCCATATTACTATTAATATTACTTATTTCTAATCTTTAAGAAAAATCAATCCACCTTTTTAAGATCATTTTCTAAGGATCACAAACTATATCATATCATACATCGTCTTTATTTAATTTTTCAAATATTTTTCATTTAGGTATTTGCTGATTGTTTCCAATTTTTATTTATTTAATACTCCATTTATAATTCAAAAATGTTTTTTTTTCGAATACTAAAATCTTTAAGATGTCTCCTTCAATACGCTATGCAGTTTCTCCCAGTGCATCTCTATCTTCGGCTGGAAAAGCCATCGGCAGAGCGCTAATGTCGCCTTGATTGCCTGGCCCTGGGCCTAAAACTTTCCTCCGATCTGGGCATCAAAACGAATGCGTATTTAAATCCATCGAATATGTTATTTCACAGCGATCGGCGACGAAAAGCGAAACTTTCCCACTCCATCAATCCCTGGATGGGATGGTAATGCACTTATGAGCAGCCATGGCAGAGACAATTGCGGCAATTTGTATGCACTCTGCCGATTGCCCGTGCATATGATTGACTTATTGATTGGCTGATTGATCGATTGCCAGCCGGCTCAGTGGCCCCAGCTGAAGTGACGGACTGGCTGACATTAAGCCTCGGCCGGGCCTCAATTAGCTAAGCTGCCAGTCGCCAGCGGTCAATATATATACGGCTATATAGCCAGTTCATAGAACTCGGTCTACCGTTATGCGGCACTACCTATATATAGCTCGATTTGGCCGTATACGAATGCTAATTATAAGTACGCCAAATCAGGGGTCTAGACTTCATAAATAAATCGCCAATCGAACCAACTACGTGCCGCGCATGCGCATATGGTTTTATTTATATATATCTCGCGGGGAGAGTTAATGCATTGGCAAATATTTACGATGTCAAATGCATTGAAACTGCAATGCAAATGTGCAAAAATGTTGTGTTTATTCGCTGGCTGTTGAAGCCCATAAATCACGAGTTAAACATGCGAGAAAATCGCCCCAGAAGCCGAGAAATGTTGGCTGTTTTGTTTCGATATTGTGAGCTGTTTTTTTCATTCTTTGTTGTGGACTACAAAAATAGTCGGGGCGGAGCAGCCTACCTACTTAACTTTTAATTTATGCGTAAGTCTGGATTTAGTAGCTTTTCAATATTAATTTCATACTCCAAAAGAGCACGGCATGTGCAGGCCCATAAATCACAATAACAGAAATAAAGCATGGTTTATATCCATACGGCACTCGGATTTATTACGCAGATGGGAAAAAAGGGGGCAGCAGCCAGAGTCATCGCTGTGGCATATTTTAAATTTATGTTTTCCGATGTCGTTCGTGGTTTTACGATCGTTTTTTATACACACAAGCCAGGGATTACTGCAGCTGGGGTATATTAGCTGGGAGATATGGGAGCTCCAAAAAATGGGGATCAGTGGGCTATCTGTCTAATCCGAATGTCACAACGTAGTTTCCTTACTTTGGGTATCTTTGGGAGAAGGTAGAGGGTATTTCTTAGCCAACCTATAGTACACCTGATCTTCAGACTGTATAACATACTCCCAATGCAACACATCCCACTGATATAATGTCTGAGAAATATTTGACAAATCGTTGGTAGCTCAGCTGCTGGCAGCTTCTTCTTTTGTACTTTCCATTAAATTAATGAACCTGAAAAAAGTATAGGTGTTTTTAGAAATAAATTAGATATTTAGATAAGAAAATCTAAAATGGAGAAGCTATTAATATTTAATAAATTATCTTACCTTCCTCTGACTTACAAAAAATAGGGCTGAATGGGGGGAGAAATTTAACAAGGGGCCTGGCCTTTTTGGGGGCTTAATTGTATGACGTCGGACGTCAGCTCCTACGATTTGGCAACAAATCCTATTAGAGCTGCCCGAAAAGTGCCCGCGGCCCGGGGCTTTGGCAAACACACAGATTTAATAAATAAAATAAAATGGAAAATAATCATAAATACAAAGAGCGCGCAGCTGTGCCACAAGCCGCCACAAAAGCCGTCCGTAAGTGGCAAAGATCAAGTCGAAGCTGCGGTCCCAGGCTTAAAAATGAAAAAAAAACATAGAAAAAACGAACTGGAGAGCCTGGCTTTTTGGCGAGGGCGTGTGTAATTTGACATCTTCATGAAATAATTAAAATTATTTATTGTTAATTTATTTTCACTCGGCCGCAACAATAGATAAAGTGAAAGATAAGCGGCATGTGTGTGCATTAGACAATTGAAATTAATTTGTCAATCGCTTGACAGGCCCGGCCACGCCCCCTTTAAAGAGGCGATGCTTTTGCGGCAATGTGGTGAAAGGAAAGGAATTTCCGAGGCAAACTTTCACGGCGAAAAGCTTTTAGCCGGGGCCAAAGCAAAAGGTCAACACCGCCGGCCAATAAGGTAGCAGTTAGTCGAGTTCGCAACCGGCGCAAATGCAAATGCCTTTTTCGCAAGGCTCACGGAAAGAAAAAATAAACTTATTTTATTCTTAAAAAATTCGTTATCCTTCACTGGTTTTAAGAAATATAAAAAATAGCTTAGAGGAAAATTCATCAAGTAGTTTTATTATAGCTTTCAAAGGGGTTTAAACAGCATTAGTAATTTCTAAAATTTATGGGGCTACAAAGTTTTTGAAAATTATAGAATATTAAAAAAATATATTTGGTTATGTGTATACAAATTCTTTAATATCCATATCTACATTGTTATTCCTAAGAACTAATACAATATAGGGTTTTCTGCTCTTTCCTTAAAAATATTTTATTTCGTATCTTTCTCTGGTTTCTTTAGAACATAATAAAGTATCTCTAAGATACTTTTTGAGATCATTTTTCCCTGTGTGCTGGCTGCCACAACAAATTAATCAGCGAGTGGCTAGCTGCACTTCGGTGGGCGGCAAACGGCATTCGGGAACCCTGGGATCTGTGAGATCTGCAAGATTTCGGCTACCTGCTGTCGAGCTGCCCTGCGGCCAAATATCGCGAATGCGGCGAATGCAATTAAATGCAGTTTGCAGTTTGCAGTTTGCAGCTCGCAGGTTGCACGGGCAGTTAATCATGCATCGACAGCCGGCTTTCTGCCGGCAAAACAGCAGCTCAACATTTTGGCGGTCACTTAGAAGTGGTGCCCGTGGAAAGTGTTGCGCAAAAAGCGGCTGGCAATTAAAACACGTTGTGGCTTTGGCTTTGCTTTTGCTGTTAGCCGGGTATATGGATATGGATGTGGATGTGGATGTGGATGTGGCTCCTGCTGCCATGACGCACAGATGGCGTCGAGTCCGCTGGCCAAGAGTCCCAGTCCACAGTTTGATGTGCGCAGCGAATCGGCTTTCAACGGAGCTCCAGCTACAATCCACTCCATTCCGCGGCAGGAATGAGGAAACGTTTTGGTGAAAAGCCGAGACGCGTTGAGAAATGTGGTTAATTGATTTTTGCTTTTGTGTGTAATTAATTTATGGTTTCCTTTTCGATTCACTTGCAGAATCGCAGCGTTCATTGTTCGAATTCAGGTGTCTCACTGAAAAGCAGTTGTTTTTGTTGTAGGATTTAATATATCCATATATACATATCAAAGTTTACAGAGTGATAAGGAAAGTTCTGAAGAAGGTTTGCCAATTATACATGGGATATAGTGGTTTTAAAAGTAAAAATCTGAAGCCCTATACCTTATCTTTAGATGATTGGATGATCTTAAAATTACATACAACAAAACTTGATTCGATTCTGTAAGTACTGATTCCAATCGATTTTCTAGGCGGAACACTTATAACTTCTTACTCCTATTATTAGTAAGATATTACTCTGATCAATTTTAACTAATCTTAACTTTTCCCTTACTCCCTTCCAGAATCACCCTGCATGGCTATACGACAATGTCCAATGCTCGCGAGCTGGCATTGATCGAGAAATGGGCTGACATTGCTACGCCGGCGACGCCGAATCGGCCGACCTTATCGCCAACATCGCCGCCAGCGCTCCATCGATCCATCGTGAAGTTCTGCTGCTGCCCGCAGCGAAGGCGCTACAATCTCAAGCAGGCCAAGAGCAACAGCAACAACAGCAGCAACAAGTCGACGGTCAACACGCTGCATGCCAGAAATATATTGGTCGATAGCGATTTCAGCTATATTGATGATGTGCCGCGGCGACGCCAAGATTGCCACAACGATTACGACGATTGCGACTACGACTGTGGCGGCGATAAAGCAGAAGCCGATGATGCCAATGATACCGCCGCTGCTCCGAGAGACGACGGAAATGTGGCGCTGATATTAATGAATCAACGAAATCTGGCCGAACAATGGCGGCAGGACAACAAAGGCAGCAGCAGCAGCAACAAAGTAGCAACAGCAGCAGTAGCAACAGCAGCAGCAGCAACAGCAGCAACAGCAACAGCAGCAGGTTAGTTATGGTATTTTAAAAATACATTTGAAATAATTTTTTAATTTCTTTCTTATCAATATTGTTTTAAGTTAGTATATTTTTAAAACACCACTTATTAAACCGCAACTTTCAATATTTTTTTTGGGTGCAGTAACTAAAACTTGCGCTGTCACAAAGAGCCCGCCAAGTGGCAATGAGCAACAGCAACACCAGCAGCAGCAGCAGCAGCAACGACAACCAACCCAAAGACTAAGCAATAGCTTGCAACAGCAACAGCAACACCAACAATTGCAACAGCAACAGCAACATAGCAATAAGGAAAATACACTAAGCTACGACAACAACAACAAGCCGCACTGTAATTATTGTAAATTACCCGACACCGCCGAGCCCCAAACGAATAGCAACAGCGACTCGAAAATTGATTCACCGAAGTCGTCGCAGAATAAAATGACAATTACGACAGCAACAGCAACAGAAACAGAAACAGCAACGGCAACGGCAACGGCGGCAACAGCGACAGCAGCAACACCAGACACACCAGCAACACCTAAGCCCCGCATTGCAGCCCGTCCGACCACGCCCAGCCGCCTTAAGACTGTGATCAAAACAACAATGGTGAAGCGGAGTCCTAGCCATGACTCAACGGCAACAGCGGCAGCACATGTGTTGCTGCCAAACAGCTGCAACAGCAACGGCAACAGCAGCAACATCAGCAACATCGGAGCCCATGACGAGCCCAGACGTTCGGTTAGGGAGCGCATCGCCGCCTTTGCGGCAGGAAATGGTAAGTTTCTTCAGTTCAGTTCAGTACGCCCGCTTAATCAGCTTTGGCAACCAAGTTGCAATGTCGCCAGGGCGGAAATGTTGCACATACACACATCTAGGCATTGTGGGAAATATCGGACTGGGCTAGGCTCACACTCATTAAACTAGTTAATAGCCGCAGCTATTGTTATTAATTGATCCGTAGCAGGGTTCTTTAGGGGGAAACAGAAAATAAGTGAGAGATCATAAAATGAGCTAAAGAGCTTATAAAAATATATGGAGCATATTAAGTTTACAGTTATTGACTACTTACATAAAAATATATATAGCGGAGCACTTGGGTTCTGATCTATAAAATTAAGTAAATACCAGACCAGTTCTTAAATATTTCATAAATTAAAAGTAATTTCAAAAATTTATTTTATTTTTTTACAAGTATTTTAAGTGCTTTATTGATCCCTTCGGGGCAGCAAAGTCCACGAAGGTCAACGAGAACCGAGAGACAGCTCAGATCCTCGTCATTTCCTGTTTTTGAATGCTCACGAGATATTCATACGTGTTTGCCGATGCCAGCGATAAGAAATAAATGCCAGAAAACTGAATTACATTCCACAGAATGAATCTTAAGCATCTGAATCACATCCAATTATTCGCAAAATTCAGTAAAACCAATTAGAGGCAATTAAATGCATTATTAAAATACCTGCTAAACAGCAGAAAAAGTACAAAAAATATTGACATGTAAGGGAAATTTATAGAAACTCCAAGCAGCTGCTTAGGGCGTGTGCATATCTTTTTTCGATACTTTTTCTTTATATTGTTCCGACTGTAAAAACTGCATGAATTATGCATGACATGGAGCCTTTGGATTTCCGTTAACATGACACACTCACATGGGCACACACCTTTGGCATTTAATATAAAGAGTCGAAGTGGAATCTATTACAAATCAATTAAATGCCGCAATGTTTAATAAAAAGCCACTTAAGGCGGCATTACAGACTGTCTACCATCACTGTGATTGCGGGTATTAATAATGCACAAAATCTTTTATTATAAATGCGTCTGCATAGGACAGGCAATTGGGAAAGTCGTAAAAGTCGAACGATTGCCGTTTGGGTGCAGCTCGAAAACGCACTTGCAGGCGGCCCAAAAAAAAACGCAGAAAGAAAACACTCCCCGGTCAGCTTTTTGTCACCAGCCGTAAAGTGCACTCCATTTGATTTTGGCCACGCCCCATCGCCTGCAGTTTTGCACACGAAAAGTCTAAATAAAATATAAAAAGGTATAAAAAGCAACGACAGCGACAAAAGGCGCAACAGGAAACACGTACATACGGCAATCGACGTCATGAGTGCGTATTATATCATTTTGATAGGCAAATGAGGCTTGAAAGCCGCCAGAGCCAGTCGTTCCCAAAGACCCGGCCCCAGGCTCCCAACTCCAAGCCCTGCCCTTAGTCGATTTTTAAAGTGGGATACCGAAAATTGTAATACCCTTTTAGGATGATCCTTAGCTATCATAATAACAGGGTAAACATTTCCAAAGTATACAGTGTTTTAGGAACTTTTTGAAATAGGAGACAATCAAGTTTTAATCAATTCAATGATATCCCAAAGAAGTTAGGTCATCTTAAAACTAATGATCTAATAATACATTTTTTTAAAAATCTTATTCTTACATTAAAATATAAACAAATATATCTCTTTAGCGATATTTTCGTGATTCTACAAAAATATTTAATAAAACATGTGCTTAAAGTAGGTATATCTCATGATATGCCCCAAGATAAAATATCTTTCTTGAGATTTTCTAATGGTGAAAACCCTCCAGAAAGGGTATGGATCCAATGGATCCAGGGAATAATCCGCAGACCGGCGGCGTCTGAGGGCGCCTGTGATCTGTGCTGATCGGCATGACGAAGACGTTGTCCCAACCCGACACACGTCAGTTCAGAGTCGTTCGCATCTGGATTCTGGATTCTGGACTCTGGATTGTGGATTCTCGGTTCTGGTGAGGTGGGGCTGGGGTTTGGAGCTGTAGTCGCTTCTTGCTCATCGCCCGCTAATCGCGTGTCCAAGTGTCCGAGTGCTCGCTGGTGCATTTTTGCCGGGCTGACAGCTTCTGCTGTGCTTATTTCATTTTATTTATTTACTCATTCTGCGGCAGTCGGCCAGTCGAGATGCATTGAGGTAGGTCCCTGTCGAGGGGAAAACAACTGCACAAACTGCACACACTTCAGGCAAATATTGACCAGTCCAGTGGACTCGCCACGAGTGTGTTTCACAAGCATCTGGCTTGTACTTTTGCATTGTTTTCAATTAGGCACCGAGTGACACCTCCGCAAAAACCGATCCCCCTTTGGGCAATCGACAATCGACATCGACAATCAACCATCGGCAATTAATCACGTTGAAGTGACCTCAGCCAGCGAAACAATCAGCAGCCGCAAAATGAAATAAAAATCCACACACACGCCCATCAATGAATGGACGGTGGCCATTTAGCGGACACACCCCGGCAAACAATTTTATTTCAAGTAAATAGGTAAATAAGCAAATAAGCTAAATGCGTACAAATGTTTTGTTTTCGAGCTCTTTGTCCGTGTTTGCAGAGCCACAAAAAGCGAACGAGTACACGGTTCCGAGTTCCCAAAAAAAAGGAATTTATGACCAAGTCATCAAATAGAACAATGGTTGCGAATTTTATTTCTGGCCGGCATATGTACAATGTACATTGTCAATATCCTCTTTTTAAACTGCTAATTAGAAAGACGAATGAAAGCTATGTTAAGAATAACTTGTAGGTTAACGGGAAATGATGTTATACAAGACTTAAGTACACGCGATTGTTTCATTAGGGTAGTTAGAAATAATCTATCCTTTATGGTAAGGAACCTGATTAGAATTAAAGTTTTAGACAAGAGATATATTTTGTATATTAGGGATCTATACATTTTACTTTTCAATGGCATATTTTTTCCGTAAGAATTTCCACCCAATTTAAATAGGAATGGCTAAAATGTTTTAAATATTTAAGTTCAATTTTAAAAATACTCTTAAGAAGAGATAGCCCACGATAACAAATATGTTCAAATAAATACTAAAATTAGATGAATTTAAACCTTATTTCAATAGGATTTCAATAGTTAAGATATTTACAAATATTTTTTAAGTACTTTGATATATTTAGTTAAAATGGTTGTCTCCAAAAAGTCTTTTGTGAACGGCAATTGCAATCGAAATTGGGGAAGACCTCCCATGAACTCGTCACCCACACGGCGGCAAAGAGCCGTCCTTATGGGCCGGGAGTACCGTTAGCGTTGCACAATTGAAATGCAGAAATAAAATATAAAAAAAAAGAAAAAAAATGAAGGAGAAGAAAAGTGCAGCCGAGTGTGGGCCTGGTTTTTCGCTGAACCTCGTATCGGCCTGAACTGGAGGCCTGCCAATCGGCCCAAAACGATCAATTGGCAGAGAGACCCCCATAAAATGTGGCCAACTGTCCCTGTCCGCTGACTGACTCTCGTTTGCAGCCGCTGATTTACGAGCTCGCCACGGGCCGTTGTGTAACGCATGCGATTCAGAATTCTTAAATGCCAGGCTCTTTTTGACCAGCAGAAGTGGAGTCACTCACAGAGGCCCAGAGACCCCTGTTGGCTTTATTTTTTTTATTTCTGTTATTTTTGGTACTGCTGTACGGCTGTCGCCAAGTCGCGGCGACGGTGGCGGCGACATTTTAATCAAAAAACTCAATCGAACGCACGCATGCGCAATAAAAACAAAAATCAAATCAAACCCATAAAATCAACAACAGCAACAGGCACAAGCGCTCTTTAACCGTTTCACTTACCCATAAAAGACAGAAAAAATAAATATACAAATAGATATAGACGGATGCCGGCCGGTTTGGCGGGGTTCTTCCGTTTGACAAAAGTTCACATAACCTTAGCCCCTATGCGAATTTCAATTCGATTCGCTGGGAATTTATTAACATTTATGTGGGCTAGAGAGCTTAGGAAGCGCTCCATGACTGGGAAGAGATTTGGGTTTGGATAATATACATTTTCTATTCCAGGGAAAGGATCTTAAGGTGTTCTGTTTCCTTGACATTTAATAAATAAACCCAAAATTAGTCATGGCTGTCCATATAAAGTACAAATATCAAGCTGATTGCGATGACCCATTTTCGAGTTTAGCGGCTACATAAATTTAAAGGCGTGACTCTCCAGCTCCATAATAGAACCCCACTGAAGATAAATAATGCAAACCACTCGGGAAATGGTTGAGCGTGGTGTGAGCAATAAATTCAAGTATGTAAATAATTGCCGGCAATTTTTTTGCGCCCGTACGAAATTAATTAAAACATTCGCGCAGGCAAACACATATGCCAAATAAAAATGGAGTTAAGTCCACACACATGTGCGGGGCACATTGCAAAATTTATGACAATTTAAATGGCACACATTTGGTGGACAATTCGCGGCGATTAGCGCAGAAATTTTCGCGTATTCGGCTTAGGCCATATGGGTCTGCACAGAGGGGTTTGGAAAATTGTGTTCAGGGTGCGCCGGCCACACAATGACAGCTGTATGTGCAGAAATATTGCCGAGATTAACCAAGCTTATAATCTTTTTTTTTCACTTACAGAGCCACAGCAACCGGCGACGCGGCAACATGACAAAGTCAAGAAGTTAACTAAAATGCAGTGCAATAGCAATACAAATCAAAACAACATGACGGGCGAGGATGTGAAAAGTGCAATTAGCAACGGCAACGCAGGCAGCACTGGCAGCACTGGGAGCACTGGCAGCACAGGCGGCACAGGCAGCGCTGGCAGCACTGGCAGCACTTCAGCTATCGCCGCTGACACGACGCGCCACAAATCGGGATTAAGTGATGTGCCGGCCAGCGGAGACGTTGATGGTCTTTCTCGGCCAACTTCATCTGAAACCACATCTGCCGTTTCAGCTCCGAGCGTTTTTAGCACCGGTTGTGCAACCATGCCGCGAACTCGCCAATACGGAAGCAATGTTGCTGCCGCCGCGGCGACAGGAGCAACATCGGCAACGGGAGCAACAACAGGAGCAACTCCTGCCAGCAACAGCATGACAGCTGATAAGAAATTCTTGAGCCAGGCGACGCCCGTTCAGGGGCATCATCATCATAAGCTGCAATTTGCCGATAAGGCCGAGTCCGAATTGGCCGCACTGGACAGTCTGGACCTGGCCCACAGCCTCGATTTGCTGGACGTCGATGGCGAGGATCCGTATGGAGCTCTGCAGGATTACTTGGAGCGTGTCAAGGTGAGTGTTTTTGTTTGTCAGCCAGTGCTGCTCTGGGAAATGCAAAGCTTCCTTCGTTCCCAGGTTGCGCAATTTTCGCATTAGATAGGCGACACTTTTTGGGGTGGAGGTGTGGGGGGACTGGCCGCTCCACTTGCCTCTTGTCTGCCGAATGACATTATTCAATTTCAGGCATTTTCACATGATAATAACCGACAATTTCTGTCCCCATCAAGAAAACGCACACAGGAAGGCACAGGGAAAAACATAGCTTATAGGTTTTTGTAGAAGAACAGAAAAATAAAACAATTTTAAAGTGAAAAAATAAATTCTAAAGACCAACGACTTATATGAGCTACTAGAACCACTTATAAAACAGATAATCTGTTGCCAAATGAAATGAAATATTTTGTATATCAATATTTTTAATACTTCTTCCTTAATCGTGTAGATTTACTTGTTTCAAACTTGTAGAAATTATTAAGAAGTATTTCATAACATGGGACTTATTTTTAAATATTTTTTTTAATATTGTAATTCTTATGAAATCTTCAATTTTTAACGGATCCTTGAAATTTTTTCTCCATGTAATCACACAATTGCCTAGAGCCAGTCTTTCATTCAGCACCCCGAACCCCGACCCCTCGCCTGCTGTCAACACGGCGTGATTTTGCAAATGATTATTTTGCGTGACAGAAAAATGTGTTAAGGCAAACTCACATACTGCCGTAATATGTAACGCATACGCCGCGTTGCACGCCCGACTTTGGCTTTAGATGTCGTTTGGCCTGTCGTCGGCGGTCGTGTACATAAAATTTTATGTTTCTGTACCGGAAAGCGCAATATTACACATACACATCAACGATGACGGCAACGTCAACGGCCGGGGCTTTAGTTTTCTTTTATTTTTTCCTCATCGCCTTTTCCATTCCCCCGTTTTGTCTTTTCTTATAACTGTTTCGCATGAATTTTCCTCATAGCCGCTGGATTTTGTTGTTATTATTATGTTTATTAGCCGCTCATGGCGGAAACATAAACGCACGCACGCACTTTTCTTGAGCATTTCGTTTATAATCCATTCTTGTTGTCAAAATGGGATTATTTCAATTAAGTTGTAGATTGACCAGGAAGAAATATGAAAACCATATTAAGTACTGAAAAAAAATCAATAAAAAAAAGTTGACCTGTTTATTAAACATTTATTTCAAGCTGATAAAGATAATAATTTATAAACTGGAGAAAAACCTCTCTTGATGCATTTTTTCCTATTAAGATTTTTACCACCCAAGATTAATAGGCTTTCTTTTATCTCAATCAACTGATGTTCTCACAAATCGACTCCAACTTTATGGCGTTTTTAATAGTGCAATATTCAGAGCAAGACGTTACCTCTACTTTATGTGACATTTATTTTTGCCATTAGGGTTCTCTCTAAATGCACACGAAATAAAATTTCTCCACTGCAAGTGCTAGGCTCTGGAAAATGTATAAACTTCGCGTCTAAAGTGCCTTTTTGCCATTTCTGCCAAACGAAGCACCCACAAATCGCGCACAAAACGCCAGCGATTAAACTGCGTTTTTTACCGCACCAAATCAGAGCAAGGCGGCTTTTATCGCCGCTGATCAACTGGGATGGCTTTATGGCAGTAAATGCAGCACGCCATTCGCCATATGCTGCATTTTATAATCAGTGTCATCACCTCAACACCCATCGAGTGCCCGGCCACGCCCCCATCGCCCCTTTCTTTGGGGCACTCAGACCGAAAAACCTAGTTTGGCTTAGTTTTTCTGTGACTGGCGTGGGCTGTCGGCTTATGGCCTTACACCGCGGTTATTAACGCCTTTTTACACACTTTCCCCCCGTCTCGCCCAACCAAATGCAGCTAATTTTTTGGCTAAATTGAAATTATTAGCCGGCAACTGTGCCTAATGATGACAAAATGTGTCACAGCGCTGCCCACGCAGGCCAAAAGCTTTCTTTCGAGCCAAAGAGGCAAAAATAGGTAAGAGATGGGGGCAACGTCTCCTTTGTGCACATTTATTATGACAAATAGTGCAGCGTTTTGGCTGGAAATTGCCGTTACACGCTAAGACGGCTAAGACGCTTGTTGTTGGCGTGGCCCCGGGCTTAATTTGACTACACTTGGGGAAAATATGCAGACTAGAAAAGGGTAAATTGGGAGTTGCAAAAACACCACATGACATATTAGAAAATATTATAAAAATGCAATATGAAAGATATCAAACATTTAAAAACCTCAAAGCTTAAAAATTCATTAACTGAAATTCGATATAAACAGGTCTAGTAGAAATTCCAACTTTATAGAACCCTTTTCACGTCTATATGTTGAGCTTAAAGTAACTTCCCTTACGTTTTCTAGGTTTAATACGTTTTCAATTGAAGATGAGGTCGAGAGAACTGGCTGTAGTATTTTATTAGTAAAGAATTTTTCATATTGTATTCCTAAATACCTCTGTAAATATTTTTCAGCATTATTTACAAACAGCCCATTGTAATGTCGGTAATTCCCAAAAACAATTTATGAAATAATTACCCAGTTGCATGGCATATAAATCAAAGATTTATCTGAGTTGTTAGCATCTACTGTTGGAAAACATTATTAGACATATCTGTTTCCCAAGTGTAGTTATGAAATGCGTTAGTGGAGGCGGTAATCACCGCCTGACCCATTTAAGACGCACCGAAACGAACCGAAGCGAGGCGAATCCATGACAGGCGATGGCAACTCGTTTTCCCGACGCGCTTCCTGCCTCAATTAGCGCCGGCTTTTGCGCAGATTTTCCATAATTTTACATGGCCAAGCTGGCCGGCTGAGTTTTCCCGTTTAAGCAGCCATTAATTGGCGCTCGTCAACATCGACTGTGGCTAAGTAAGCTTAATGCATCAATCAAGCTTTCAGCATGACAACGTGTATAAATATGCCTTTCTGCCATTCGAAAATCTGATAAGTCGGGCGCACAGTTTGCGTGTGTTCTCAAATGATTTTAATTATAGATATTGACAGAGTGGCGATGGGAAATTGAGACGTAAGGCTGCCGCTGCTGCGCCCAGGGATTGTTTTTTGGCCATAGTTTTTGGCTTTTGATTTTTTTTCTGACTGGTTCGATGAACCCAGCAAAAAGTATCTGCTTTGGCCAATTATGCGAATGCTGTTAATGAATGTGGGCGACGACTTGCCTTCGGTTTATCTATATGGCTTTATGCAATGGGGCTCTGTCACTTGGCGAATGAAAATGCGACTGCGACTGCGACTGGGAGTCTGCAAATGCGGCGGCGCAGCTGCCTAGAGAAAGTTGTCTTTGCCCAATTTGCAAATGACGTTTTTTTGTCAACGTCAAACGGCGAACGGGCCAAAACAAATGGCAATAAAAGGCAGCGCCTGCCTGCACGTTACTATTTTTGTCAACCAGGAGTTGATCTGGCAAAAACAATGAAAATCCCACAGGCCCGATGATGCCAAATGGAGTCAGAAATCACTAAAAAAATAGATAGATAGAAAAAAGCATCGTTAAATGCTGTGGGAGAAGCTGAGAAGCTGGAAAGTGAGGCTGGGGGGACTTCTACAATTTCACCGGCAGCTATCATAATTGCAGACAGCAATTAAGCCGCTGTCACTGGCTGCCAGCTACTCATGCTGATCGCGTTACAATTGCAATGTGGCAGTGCTGCAATGTTGCCAGTTGCAAGTTGCAGTGTTGCAAGTTGCATGTTGCCAGTTGTCAAGTTCGGCTCGCTGACAATGCGTTGATATTTTCCGACAAGCAAATCAGCAGCCACCAAACTGAAAAAAAAATAAGAAACCAAAGGCCTTGCCACAAAAATTGAGCCAATTTGCTGATGCCGAATCGAAGCTCACCACTGGGAATCGCATTTTGTGTTGCAAGTTGTGAGTGCTCTTCTGAGCCCGGACTTTCTTTTCCTCTAGCCGCTTGCCAAAAGTGACACAAAGTAGCCTGCTGCTCGGTATTTGCAGTCTTGAAAGCCAATGGAATTTAATTTGTTCAATCCCCAATCCTGACACATCTGATTCCACGGATATGTGCGGTGGCACTGACCAATTGCAATGGGTTTTTGATACTAGGTGCACATTTTGGGCAACTTAAGGCATTGTTGTATGTATTACTAATAATTCTGTTTTATTTTAATATATTATTTAATCAAATATGTATTATAATAGAATTTCTAAGAAGTCCATTAATCATAATTATCATTTTAACTCATATATTTGAATGCTTACCTATTTAGAAATTACAAAACTTCTGCTGCCCACACTCAAAATCCCAAATGTAGTACTTAAAGTTTTTTGTTTTCAGTTATGTAAGAACGGTGTGCGAGTGCTTCTGTGGGATTTCTTCTGAAGCTGTCACAGCTGTTTAGCACTAAGCTTACCTAACTCAAACGCTGCCCTCCAGTGAACGCGTTCCCCTACCTTTGTGGCTCAAAAGCTGCACGTGAGTTGGCCACTCCAAGTGTCATTGCCCAGGGAAGAGTTGAACGCAATGGAAATGTGTAGTATTTGTGGACTCTGCTGCTTGCATTCTTCTAACCAAACATAGGTACAAACGTATATTTATATGCATATACACACTCCATATGAAGTGCCATTGAAATTATAATGATCTTCAGGGGATTTTGGACCGATCGCTCGGACGTCAGGCTACCAGAAAAAATCAAAAAACCAAAAACAGACCAAAACGAGATGGAAGAGCATATGGGTATTATTTAACCAATTTGTTGTTGCCCGCTTTTGGATCTGGCTATGACCTTCAATGGTCATTTGTCGAAAAACAAAGCGAGCTGGTCCGCTGGCTTACCAAAAATATTTTGACGTTGATGTCGATGTGGTCAATGTCAATGTCAGAAATGGACTGAAGTGGAAAATTTCAGTTTGCAGTGGCTTAAAAATTCACTGTTTCTCCCTATTTCCAGTGCTTGGCTAATAAGCTAAACTCGCGTGATTGATGTGCGTTTTGGGGATTACATGGCCCTTTGCTGGCCT